TTTACCATTCACTATGGTATTTCCTATCTTTAGAACTATGTATTATTTCTTTCTCTACAAAGTTGTCGCTTTTACAAGGAGTAAAAGCACGAAAATGCTTTTACTCCTTGTAAAAGCGACATGACAACATTATTTATATGACATGAACAAACTTGCTTGATGACAACTTTGCTCAGTCAAATACTTATTATCTATCAATTACGCATTTACAGAAGTCTTCATTTGAACTACATTTATGCGTTTATTTGCTAAACCTTGGCTTCCCCAATGTTGTTTTCTTATTTCAGACATCCTAATATAATTATATTGACAACATCGAACATAACTGGAGCCATAGACGTTGCGTTCGTGGACAGGTTGAAAAATATGTTTATGACTCGAAAGTTTTTTAATTCACTTTCTCATCTAACTTCGCTATTTGTTCGCCCACAGAGCAGACATCAAACAGTATATTGGTCTGCCATCAGCCAAAGCTATTTACAAAATTTACCATTCTTGCATCAAGGAACTTGTAAGGGTAGGGTATTCAATGTTTTTACCACAGGATACGAAAATATAGTTGAAACACCACTATTTGTTTGTATGTAATTATTTCTTCTTGTACACGTGATCAACGAAATGGCTGCCGGTCAATTATATTTTCTGACCAAAAGGAACGCCGAAATGGCTTACCGCAACCTGTCATCATATACAATATGAAACAACAATTTGCCTCGTGAAATATATCCCCTCTTCTCAGTACTTTGTACCTTTACGTCTACTGCTTTAACTCCATACCAAAATATTGTCGTTTGTGCAGTAAACTAAGTTATACCAACACGTTGCTTAAATAGAGAGGTGTGCAGCTGTATAGAAATTGATTGCAAACAATTGCATTGTAGATAATTTTTTAATAATCAAAATTAATGCTATCTTTTCATCACGGACCAGTATCATATCACCAGCCACTCAAATTTTGAATTTAAGGTACAACTGAAAAAATCCACGAAATTTTATTTTGACGAAAATTCGCGGTGTTTTCTCTCTTCTTATATTTGTCCTTAATTGTGTATGTAGAGCTCTGGAAATTTTACGGTTTGTCAGAAATTTTTTTGTTCACTTCTATGTTGATGACATCGTTTTCATTTCCGATGTACAACTTTTCCTCCCTATTTTCCATTGTAGCTTTGTCGACAACGATGCAACACACTGTAGTCTTGAATTAAAGAAGATGGCCAAGTAAGTGAAGTAGATGTTTGTAGATGTAGATCGTCGAGGTTAGTGGAGTCCTGCAAAGCACTGTTGATGTTGATGTTGACTGACTTCTCGACAACCTTAGCGGTAGTCATCTTCAGAGTCAACATCAACAACAACAGTTCTTCTCAGGACTTTACTAACTTGGACGATCTACATCTACAAACATGTAATGATACTGCCATGTTCAAACCTTTCAATTTAAAGTAAAGTGATGTCACAGAGTAAAATAAACATGTCTTGTCTTAGTTAATGGTAAATATTATGTTACCCAGTTTTCATCTTTTTAAGTTAGTATTCTCCTCGTATTTCAATGAAAACGAAACTACTCCCCGGGGGGTTTCAGAAGTTGTCTGAACCTTAGCAGTATGTTCTACTTTCTTTTATGAGAAGAATTCTTGTAAAGAAAAAAAACAAATTTTGAAAGCAAAAAAACCCCGTTTTTGGTCCATGCTTCCTGATACCTTCTTAAGCGTAAGGCACTAGAAAGCAGCATGTTAACGTTTCGGTAGGAGATTTCGGCCCCGACACGCTATCCTATTTGGGAGATGCAATAGCAAGCTTCCGAGATCACCTACCATAGGCTTTGCTCGGGGTACGCAGGGAGAGTTTGGTCGCCACCGTAGTTTTGGCCACTAAGCCACTGCATACTATATCGCACCCAGCTTCCACTGCTAGTTGACATCTACTATAAGAAGTTATAGATTTATATATACAAAAATTTAGAGGCTTACGAAAGTTGTGGTATTATTAAAGTCACCACTGCGCATGCTCAGATGATTTCTTTGATAATTTGCGAGTAAGTGAGATAATTGCCACAGATGTAGTGCAAGTACATCTAACTAGTCGTTGCCATGACTATGAACAATTAGTCAAGTAAACTGCGCATGCTCGAGTGCATTCGCAGATGATTTCTCCATTAAATTGTTACTAAACATGCTATTTACTTCAAAATCGGGGCTAGTAGATGCAATTGGTTGTTGCCATGACCATGTACATGGGCAGCAATCAATTTAACTGCGCATGCTCAGTTGATTTCTGTAATAATTTGTTAATAAGCAAGTTATATACTTCCTAATTGATGCTAGTAAATGCAGTTGGTCGTTTCCATGACTATCAACTCGGACAATTGGTCAAGTGGACTTTGCTTGCTTGAGCGTGCTGCGCATGCCCAAGCGCACTGCGCATGCTCAGATGATCTTCTTATATTTTTGTCACCAAGTGATTTAATTACTCGGAAAGCGATGAAAATAGACCCAGCTTGTTGTTGCCATCACTATGAAATTGAAAAATTTGTTAAGTGACTAAATTTCTCATTATGATTGAAATTTATGATTTCCCAATATGTGACTAAGTGAACCACTGAAAGATGCAAGCTTGTTCTGTTGGTCATTGCCATGATTGTAAACTCGAACAGTTTGTTGAGTTGTTTTTGCATGTTCAGATGAGTTCTCAAATAATTTGGGACTGAGGTTTAAATTATACCGTCTTTCTACTTGCAACATAATCAAAACTTAACTTTGTATTACATCTACATTTAAGGCGAAAAGATGTTTTGTTTTTGTTATCGTAGTCAGTAGTTATCAAGTAATGGACCACTCTCAAATAATCACGAATATTGGTTAACTTTTGGTTAGGTTTCTTTGGGAGGCCTTTCTCTTTTCGAAATTGCTAGGAGCAGTCAAGCGTCTCACTGTGATTAACCTACGAAGTATTCTTTCTCTCATTTTCTTGTTTAGAAAAAGTTATCAACTAAGTGGTCGAACTCTTCGTAAACTAGCATTCCTTGCACATGCGCTGTACATTCATAAAAGTCTTTTTGATATGCTTTGTTGAAAATTAAGATTTTTTATTGCTCAATTTAAGTGCATTTGGTAAAATAGATCACAAAGTTTGCTAATTTATATTGGTACTTTGAGACTCCTTACATGACGTTTCCGCAACACACCCGAGGTCAAAGTTCCTATGTATTAAAATGCAGCAATGTGTATAGTTCGTTATTGAGGATAATGTGTAGATTATTTTAAATAGGGAAGGATATTTATACGATATAGTTAATTGTAACTGTTTAATTTCAACTTATGTTTACATTAAATGACATCCTTAAGCCAACTTTACAAATATTGATCGCTATTTTTGTGTTATACATCTATAATCATCTTGTTAAAGATTTGAAGCTTTGCTGCGATAATACAAGTTTGTACAGCTATCTCATCTTTGTTTGTTGCCTATCTGATAGCATGTCAACTCCGGGGACCAGATTTTTTATCGAGATTTATATGACATTAGAGATTGTCGTACGTCAGTCTAATATCTTGAGCATGAACGATATGTTGTTGAAAGATAAGTTTACATATACTCTAGCGTAGTGTCTTCATCAGGAGTGATCTAATGTTGAAACTTGAGTCACTATATGCTCTTGTCTTATGTCTTTGTCAGGAGTGATTTTTTATTGAAACTTTCGCCAGTGTTATTTAACCATGTTATCTAAAAACTTTATCCTCCATAGTCCATTTTTGTATTTGGGTTTCCACTTGTTTTCTTTACTATTTTAAGATAGTGTTCTTCTTGACAGCAGAAAATTATTCTCATTATGATTTGGTCGTTGGAATACTTTCATCGCGCGGCAACTTTGATTTGAGGCAAAGTTTACGTGAATCATGGGTTGGCTATGCAAGACGACATTCATCGCTCAATAAAAGGTAAGCACAGGAAAACACTTAATTTTCTTATTGAGGGTAGCTGTAGTGTATTTTGTGTTCAATTAGAGCTACTTAGCGTGTGAAACGTTTTAGCAAACACAATATTTGTGAAGATAAAGTGTCGAACAGTGTTTCATATTGGCCTGTCGCGTTTCCAACGTATTTCTTAAATATCAGAGAACGTTTACAACGTATTTCTTCAATACCAGAGAACGTTTACAACGTATTTCTTCAATACCAGAGAACGTTTACAACGTATTTCTTCAATACCAGAGAACGTTTACAACGTATTTCTTCAATACCAGAGAACGTTTACAACGTATTTCTTCAATACCAGAGAACGTTTACAACGTATTTCTTCAATACCAGAGAACGTTTACAACGTATTTCTTCAATACCAGAGAACGTTTCCAACGTATTTCTTCAATACCAGAGAACGTTTAAAAAGTATTTCTTTAATACCAGTCAACGTTTACAAAGTATTTCTTCAATACAAGAGAACGTTTACAAAGTATTTCTTCAATACCAGAGATATGTTTGGTAGAATAATCTGATTACCATAATAAGCAACGTTTTAGCAATTGTCAGATCTACGTAGAATCGAATTGGACATTTTTGGCTGACCGCCATTCTTTAAGTAGTGTAGCGTTGTGCGTTTCTATGATGGCCTATAGAATATACCGACAACAAGGTCTTTAGTTTCGTTTATTAGTTTTGTTCTACACAGGAACAACTTATGCAAACTACATTCTTTGTCATATGATAAATTTAACTGTGTTGACTAACGTCATTGTATTGAGGCTAAACTCGAATATTCACAAGAAATAACGGTTCACGGTACACTTGCCCAAAATATCACTTTCTTTGCTGTGGTTTTCTTGGCTAGAGTTTCCAACAACCGTTTCTGTCGCAAAAAAACAATAGTACCAGTGATATAACTAAGCACAATGACTAAATCTGAAAAAATAAAGTGTTGGTTACTATTGCATTGTTGTTTTAGAGTGTTGGTGAAGTTCGTCGTTTCAAATAATGCATGTTATGTCCCTCCATAGTTAAGGATTAATCCTTACAAATGCGAAAGAAAGAACATCGAATCTCCAGGTCTTTAAAATTTACATTTGATTTGATAGTTGTGAGGTTTGGCGCTTGGAAAAAGCCGATAAAAACCAATATGACGTTGGAATTCCGATGCAGGCAATAAACTAACGAGGCACATATTTACCAACGTCGAACAAAACCAACTATACTTGTGATATTCAAAATTAATCAGTTGCGGATTACTCATTACGAAAAGTAAACCAAAACATAGTTAGTTTTTACTTTTTGCTGCTTGGAACTTGCTAAAAGTGCCTGTTTTAGACCATTTATGATGTTGAAAACCGTAAGAGCGATTGAATATTGACGAAAAAGACTTTCGTACCATCTAGTGTTTAAATGCGTGATGATAAGAACTCAAGAGGATTTCCCAATTTCTGCAGACCGTTTTGATAATTTTTAAAATTTATCTTGAACTATTAATTTCTTTTGTATCGTTCACACTATGTGTTACAAACGCAAGCTAGGAAATGCAAAGGCAAAGGAGCGTAAAGAACGCAAACGTTGTCAAGAGACTGAGCTTAGTGGAGGGATTAAATATCACCAGGCCTCGTAATTTTGTCTTAGCCTACATGCTCCGTAATTATTAAATAGCCACTGCTGCGAATTTATCATTGCTGTATGTATTTGTAGCGAAGATCAGACAGTCTTGATGAAAATATATGTTCCTATCTCTCATAGAGATTTTACCTTCATAGAGGCTGGAACGAGTGCATGATCAAACGTGATTATATGTTTGTCATATTGATGTTTAGACTACGAAAATGAAGTCATTGCTTACAAACGACCAAATGAAGAAAATTTTAAATATTTTCACAGTGGATGTATCGGATTGGACTTTGATGTGAGTATTAGTTAGTTATTTGTAGCTATTAAGAACTGCTCATCGGCACTGTTGCATCGAACTTGGGACCTTCTGAAGAAAGTCTGAAGCCTGTTGCATAAAGTGGCTGTTTGGCTTCATGACTAAAAATTTGGCTTGGCAATACAATACAATTATTTTTATACAGATCATCCGTCCCATTATTTTGACTCGTCTTGGCATCTCTTTATCATCGTTGAATTCAAAAAGTAACTCTTCTGTTCGACTCTACGACAGAACAACTTAGGTTAAACCATGCAGTTTATAAATACCGTTTACAAGTAATTTGATCTAAATTCTTTTATCTCGTTTCAGACCAAAATTATATCTGTTCATTTCTCTTTCCAAGACGCTGGTACAACAGAAAACGGTTCGTCGTTTAAAGCAATTGAAAACTTTATTTTGCCTAAGGTTAGTAACAAGTCGATAATTTATCAAAATATTCAAGTAAACTGTTTGAGCCCGGGAATATCGTTATCATGTTTGTACAGGTTAGTAGAGTCCTGAGAAGGGCTGTTGGTGTTGATGTTGACTGACGTTTCGACAACTTTAGAGGTAGTCATCTTCAAAGTCAAGTGAGGAGTAAACGTCTGTAAGCAGATAACAAATATGGCAAGCTTGACGTTTACTCCTCACTTGATTTTGAAGATAACTACCGCTAAAGTTGTCCAAACGTCAGTCAACATCAATACCAACAGTCCTTCACAGGACTCTACTGACCTGGACGATCTACATCCACAGATATGTAAGATATATAAGTAACAAGGTTAATTATGACTTTGACCTTTTCGATAGAGTTTGAACATTTGGTACGCTTCAAATGCCATTATAGGACTTCAAGGGCAGCGTCGTGTCTGAAAACGTAAAATGTTCAAGTTCTCAATGCAGAAAATGCGAGTATTTTGCCAACATTGAAAACGGAGAGGATTATTTCAATGTACACAAGGTATAAAACCATAAAGAAGTTTTATGTCATAGCCAATTGGAGGTGAATTGTTATGATTTAGAGCAAGTGAAGCGGTTTTTTCCTAAAGAATTACTATCTAGTAATAAATGTTTTTCTTCGGTGCCCTCTTATCGATATTTGGACTAAATTATTGACATTTTACAATATTGCTAATTAAAAGTTTTTCGATGGATATTTATTGTTTATTTTACAACAGATTCTTAAGCACGAGGCTTTATTTCGCTTTTGATGTAGCAAATTCATGTGAATTAATAAACAATTCGTTAATTAATCGATGTTGTAAGCATTACAAATTTACTAGAACGTATATAAAGGGTTTTCCAATTCAATGTTAAATAATTTGATTTAGAATTTTATGTTTTGTTGGTTACGATTACAAATCTATGGTGAATACTAACCCAAACCTAATCTTGATTCCTAGATAAGACGGATTAGCAACGAGTTCGCCGTCCTTCCCGAAGTTGAGGAATCAGTTCCTGATGCTAGATGCGTGGATAGGGCTGGAACGTTCATGTATCGACTTTACAATAGGTTTTTTTATGCTACATTACGTACGTACTGACTTCTTCGTTTTCGCGGTTAACAACGAGAAATTTGATGCAAGAGTTGCTCATAACAGGATGTTTTTCTGCGCACATTGAAAAAGAAACATAATATCCTCAGCAGTAAAGTGGATTTGTTGCTAGCATTTGTTGGGGTAAGCCTCTTCTCAATGTTAGATTAATTTTAATGAAGTATGCCTCTCCTGTTGTAGCCCACGCATTGCCTCAAACCCTTACAAGCTGTGAGTCTTCCGTTGGAAGCTTGCGAGAATTTTTAATTTTGTTTACTCTTTAAGAGAAGAGAAAATTTTGAAAACAGAAAATCCCGGTTTTGGTCCATTTCGATACCCTATTAATTGAAAGGTGGCATGTTAACGTTTCTGTAGGAGATTTCGACTCCTCCGCGCCATCCTACTTTGGGATGTCAATAGCAAGCTTTGCCCATCAGACGCCTGCGATAGGCTTTTCTCGGGGTACGATGCTGCTAAAATCGGATTTGTTGGTTGGGTGGCTTCTTGCAATGAAATGCATACTACATGCATGTACGTGATAAATTGGATGGCTGTCTCTTTGAGATCAGAAGAAGTCATATGAATCCGAAAAGTGTGCTGTTTACTCGTAAAATCACTCGAAATGTGAAGTTACTTTCTATATTGAACCGTGAAAATAAGGTAAAAAGAAAGTTATTATCTAAAATGAATTTATGACATAAGGGTATAATTTTAACGACACAAATGGCATGGCTTATGAAATGCTATCTTCGTAAAAAGTATTATAAAAAAGTAGATAATCCTTTTTCTCCATGAAGCCCATGGATGCTTTCGTTCATGACGAGAGAGTTATTAAATGGAGATATGATCTTCACACTTTGCTGGACAATTTAAGCAATTGTCTCGTGAACCTGAAAAATTCAGGTGACTCAACGGGATTCGAACCCATGACCTCTGCGGTGCCGGTAAAGTGCTCTGACCAACTGAGATACGAAGTAACACAGTGGTGAGCAGGTCAATTTTGTTGGGCTCATGTTTTCTCGTGAAAGGAATGTCATATGAAGAATGTTTTATGCAGTGCGGTGTTCGAAATTAAATGAAGATATGATCTTCGCACTTTGCTGGACAATTTAAGCAATTGTCTCATGAACCTGAAAAATTCAGGTGACTCAACGGGATTCGAACCCATGAGAGAGTTATATTGTGTGAGGAGGCTGTCGTTCATCATGAGAGAGTTATGAGAAAGTTACATTGTAAAAGGTAACATGTAAAAAGCTTTTAGACATATTTAGAGTTGGTTTAAATTATAATTCAAAAAGGCAGATGTTTTTGAACCTTTGCAGTATCCTTGGATGTTCTAGTTCCTTTTATGAGATAAACAAATAGATAAAATTCAAAAGCAAAAAACCCCGTTTTCGGTCCATGCTTCCCGATACCTTCTTAAGCGTAAGGCACTAGAACGTCCCACGTTAACGTTTCGGTAGTAGATTTCGGCCCCTCCACGCTATCCTACTTGGGAGATGCATTAGCAAGCTCCCGCCCATCAGACCCCGAGATCACCTGCGATAGGCCTTGCTCGGGGTACGCAGGTAGAGTGCGATTCGCCACCGAAATGTGGGCCCCTAAGCCACTGCATACTATATCGCACCCAGCTTCCACTGCTAGTTGACATCTACTATATGAAGTTATGGATTTATATATACATACAAAAATTTAGAGGCTTACGAAAGTTGTGGTATAATTAAAGTCACTACTGCGCATGCCCAGATAATTTCTTTGATAATTTGCGACTAAGAGAGCTATTTGCCACAAATATTGTGCAAGTACATATAATTAGTCGTTGCCATGACTATGAACAATTAGTCGAGTGTGCGCATGCGCAGATTATTTCTCGATTAAGTTGTTACTGACCATGCTTTTTACTTCAAAATCTGTGATAGTAGATGCAGCTGGTCGTTGCCATAACTATGAAGTCAAAAAAACTGTCAAGTCAAATGCGCATGCTCAGTTGCTATCTTTAATAATTTGCTAATAAGCAAGTTATATACTTCCTAATTGATTCTAATAAATGCAGTTGGTCATTTCCATGACCATTTACTCGCACAATTGGTCAAGTGGGCTTTGCACGTACTGCGCATGTCCACGCGTACTGCGCATGCTCAGATGATCTTTCTTACATTTATGTGACCATGCGATTTAATTACTCAGAAAGCGATAAAAATAAATCCAGCTTGTCGTTGCCGTGACTATTAAATTGAAAAATTTGTCAAATGGACTGCGCAGGCTCATATGATTTCTCTAATATGTGACCAAGTGAGCCAATTACTCTGAAAGCTGTGCAAGCTTGTTCTGTTGGTCATTGCCATGAGTGTAAACTCGAAAGGTTTGTTAAGTTGTTTGTGCATGTTCAGATGACTTCTCAATTAATTTGCGGCTCCAGCAAGCTATTTACTGGTTCTTCCCATTGGTTTTTATCCACACATTAGCGCGTTGTTTTCTTACTCAAAAATTAAAATAAAATTTAAACTGAAGTTTAAAGCCTAGTGCTAAACACTATTATTCCCTCACCCAATATTAAAAGAAAAGATAGTGCAATACATTATGAATAAATTTCTGTAGCAACTCTCAATCTTCCGTAGATTCTCCGGGGAAGAGAGTCGTGACGAAAGAGGAAGAAGAAGGTCGAATGTCGGAGTGGCAGCGATTGAAAGACTATAAAAACGAACGTTTACATAAAGAAAGCAGAACTATTTCTGATATTCTTTTTTTTCAAATGTCAATGTTTACAGAAATCTTCCATCCCAGTTGCTTTAGTTTTCGCATGGTAAGAAAATGTCTGACACTTTTATATATTTTTTATGCAACTGTGAAATTTCTGGCGATAAGTGGCCAGTCTCAAATCAACTTAAAACATTATTTTTGCCCAAATAACTTGCATTAGTGTAACATTCATCTCTCCATTATCTCCTTACCTACGACATCAGTCGTCACATGTCATATTGATCTTGCTTCATGTCGACTTTTCTTTTTAAATAATCTCTCGGCGAGTTTAAGTTTTTCCTTTGTAATGAAAACTGACGATGATTGTTTTGTTAACCTGGAGACCATCTTACAGGTTTGTGAAAGCTCTTCAATAAATAATAGAAAAATACGTGTTGGTATCTTGGGAGTTGGCAGTACGTAGAGGTATCTTGGGATTTTTGAGTATATCAATCTGGTGGTTTTAAAAGTGGTTTAGAGGTGGTTTTCTTTGGGGGTTAAGGGTTAAGGTCAACATAAATTCCAAATTTAGGTTTTTTAACATTTTTATTGTGTTACTATGGTATTCATTACATATAAAAGAAAAATTACTACTTTTAATATTTTTTCAAATTAGAACAAAAATTATAACTATCAAAATGTTCTAACGTCAATGAATATAGAATATGTTAAATGAATATGAATATGAACATTAATATGAATAATATGAATATGAATAATGAATATGAATATGTTCAAATATATAACTATCAACGCATGTCATTGCCACTGTTATGTTGGTTTTGCTCTTTGCTTTCAAGGTAATGGTTGTATTGTTAACTTAGTATTAATTACTGCCGATGAAAGAGGATCTTAAAACCTCTCAAAAAGCAGAAATTTGTAATCTAGAGAGCTTCGGGTTTTTGTCCATACGTCTATCTACTGGACCTTTTCTTCGTTGAGTTTTGGCTTTCCATCATTGAACAAGTAAGCATTTTACGATTGATTATGAAGTTTGTTATGATGCGCTTGGCAATGAGCCCAAAAAGAAAATAGAACAAAAGCTTTTTAATAGAACGGCCAAGCCCAACTTGAAGAGCTTTCGAAGATAAACACATCAGATTATCCTCGATGCCTTATGTTTTCTTCATTAAATTTTATTTTTCAAAACTTTAAATTGAATATTGTCGTTGAAACACCATATGGTGAACAAATTAGCGAAAACAAATCGCCAAATATGTCTTGGACGTTCGTTTCAAATATCAAAAGAGATTAGCCAAGGGTTACATTCTCTCATCGAAAGGAATCATGCAGCAGCAAAGATACTTATCTCTTTGTTATACTTTAGGTCACGCGAATTCGTTTTTAATTAAATTATGAAATGTTTTAGGATACATTACGACACATATTGACTAATGTGGAAGTATGAATGTTATAAAACTACTTGACGCATTTTTTCAAAGGACATTTCTCTGTTTTGAAGCATACTCAAGTATTCCAGTACATAACATTTAATGCTTAAGTCAGTCTGGGTACTTGCTGACCTATAACTGCCCTTCTCAATATGAAATTTTTCCTGTCTGTTTTAAAGGTAACTTCTTGAAAAAATTCAATGTAAATCAAAGAAGGCGTTCTCGGGGTAGTTCGTCTATAGCCACAACGATGACGGATCTTCGCAAATCACCATTTCATCTTAACCGTTTGGAGGAAGGTACTTTGGTGTGCGAAAACGATGAAGAGAAAACCCGCGAGGGACTAAACTGAGAATATACAACTGAGGGTAAGATGTTTGGGAATACTGTTTGAGTACAGATAAAAACGAGGATTTTTCGAAGAATGTTCAATGAAACAATGTCAACGGTTATTGTCTTAAATACAAAGAACGACTCTCCATTTGCAAAGTGGGTGGCCTAGGTTTGATGGTTAGGGGAGATTTGTCAGAGCATCGCAGAGTTGCTAAAGAACGAGTCGATCGTGAGATGCACCAGGGTCTGACGGGAAGGTATGGGGAAAATATGTTGAACTTTGGTCCCTGTAATGGTATTCACGTCCAATTACAGTCTTTCTCTTTCTCAAAACTTGAAAATTGAATGTGTGCTCCTTGTGACGGCACATAATGCATTAAACCATTTATAGGCGCACGTCAAACAACGTGTAAAATATGCTTTTGTTAAACAACTGTCAAAATCTCAACTCACGCAACACGCAAAAGTCATCATTATCACTTATAGTTGATTATTATCCCCAATTTAGAGAGATTATCATCTTCAATTTAGAGAAATTATTATTCTCAATTTAGAGAGATTATTATCCTCAATTTAGAGAGATTATCATCTTCAATATAGAGTAATTATCCTCAATTAAAACCATTGAAATTGTAGCAAAGAATCCGTTAACACTTATGAAATAAGCCGATTTGATATTTCATTAATGACATTCCTATATTAAAATCATTATCCTTACACTTTTCACAGGAAGAAATACGTGATTTGACGAAAACAAGGAAGTCCACAAGAGAACAGCCACATTTCCACGAGTAGCGAGACTCGTCACTCCAGATTCAACAGCGAGACGGAGAGCGCTCGGGGTCGGGAGTCGGGATCTCCCGACAAAATTGGTCGAAAGGAGTCGAACGTTGCCGACAGCTTGACAAGCAACGGTAGCGAGGAAAGAGGTGGAAGTTTAATAGAAGATATTAAAAACGCTGATCTTTTTATTGTCCTACCAAACGGTAGTAGCGTTTCCGATGAAGAAACGTTAACGGTCATGTCAAACGTTTCTATTGAATCCTCGTGATGTTGAAAAAAGATTGTTGGAGGAATATGGCCGTGTGTTTTATTGAAGAGAATATTTATGGATCCTGCTTCAGGAAAGATGAGATTTGACAATGAACTGTGGTACAACTTGACTACCATGAAGATGTTTCCACATAAAGATTAACTACTACGAGAAGACAGTTAATTATAAACGATCGAATTGAGTTTCTAAACCTCTCCCACAGAAAATCTTCAAACGCAAAAAAACGACATGCATTTCGTTTAGAAAATGTGAAACATTTTATGCTGATCTCTGATTTTATGACGTTTTTGGTCGCTAATGACGTAATTTGATCGCAGCAACACTCAAGTCTGTACTTATACAAATCACACAATGAGCATTACAATAAATATTTTACATGAAGTACGCGAGGGCATAAGCGAGGCTAATCAAAACCTTTACACCTGCATGGCAAATTTTTCAGCAAAATTATTCGGAATTATTTCGATTGTTTTTGCAGTTAATGAACACAAACATATTTGCATAGCAGGAGTAATGTCGATATTCCAAGCAATAACCATTTTATACAAAAACGTTTACACCGAGCTATAGATTTTAGTCAATTTAAATTAATGTCGTTCGTAAAAAGCCAAAACATTAAATTTGTAACATAGAGAAAATAGGTTTAATTAAGTGGAAAAAAAGATAAAAAGTTTAATTCAAGCTGTAGTTTTCTATCTTTCTGTGTGGATTTGGAATTTTTCTTCTCCACCCATCGGTATCCTGCTCGGGCAAAGTAAACATTTCCATCTGATTGTTGCAAATTATGTTAAAGTTGTGTTGGGTTTCAATTGTACATTCGAGTACGTCCGGGAAGATAGGGAACAATGCAGACAACATGAGTGGAACGGAAGTAGAGAGAGCAGAGAACGGAGAGAAGCGCGATACTTTGAGGAGTAAGAATAAAAATTGTTTAAGAAACCAAAGTTGTAAATGTGATTATTCCTCGTGTTCCGACGACATCGGGACGGAGGTCAATTTTCGGAATACATGGCACCTACCAACGAAGGATTGTTATTGTGACAAATTGTGAAAATTTCGTACGAGATATTACGCGTCCCATACAAGCATGGCAAACGACGAAGCAAAACTCAATATAAAATTAACTCAACTAAAGTTATCTGCTCAAAGAACAGCTAAAATATTAGATTCGGGAAGCGAGAAACTATCGAACGACAACTAAACGCACTCAAAACAACTATAAACGAGGCTGACAATTTTAAAAGAGCTGTAGAAGCAGCGAAAATCGAAAGAGAAGACGACCTTGAAGAAATCAGCGATTGGAATGCGGCAATCGAAACAAAATAAGCAAAGCCGAAGACTAACTAAACAAGCTACAACACCGGCAGAACAATAGGAAATTAGAAGAGGAAAATCACGCTCGCGAGGAGCAACTTAAATTTGAAAAAAAGCTTCAAGAAACAAAGGCTCAAATAAATGCAAAAATTCAAAATTCAAAGTCCGGGGACTCAAAATAAGTGATGAAGGTATGTCGGTGAGATTACCAAAATAAATATTGCGAAATTTGAGGGGAATACATGGATTGGCCCAGATTTTGGGGGCAATTTACGGAGACGGTGCACAAGTCAAATATAGCTGCCATCAACAAATTCACATATCTGTGTGGTTTCCTTGGGCCCAAAGTTTAGCGACGAGTAGAATCATTACCGTTTACCACCGAATGATACAATAGAGTGAAGTCAATTTTAAAAGATCAGCATGGGAAGAATTCCGAAATTATAAAAGCTTACATAAAAGAGATCATGGACTTGCCTAATATCTCCGGAGCAAACCCAAGAAAGATTGCCGAATTTAGTGAGAAGTTAAGTCACAGTGTCCAAGCTTTGGAAACGCTGGGTAAACTGAAAGATGTCCAAGGAAATGTTTCCATGACTCTAGACAAACTCCCAGCCATACGTGGGGACATTGTTAGAAATGATCCAGAATGGGAAAGTTGGGACTTTTCCAAGCTTACTGAAGCAGTCAGAAATAAGTCGGGGGAATGTAAAGTAATCAGTACTGTCAAGGAGAGAAAAGCAATTTTAGTCAAAAAGAAACTTTTTTTCAACTGTACAGCAGGACAGCACCATGCTAACGCTTGCCCCAGCAAGTCATCATGCAGAAATTGCCACAAACGACACCATACGAGCATATGTGATGTCGCCAATCGAGAAGAAACACCAAAAACAGGTCAGACTGTGTTGACTACAGATGAATGTATTGGTGAAGGAATTTTCCCCATTCTTGTTGTCAAGATAAATGGAATTACATGTCGTGCATTGATCGACTCAGGGGCTGGAAGTTCATAAATATCTGGTAAACCTGCATCTATGCTGAGGGTGAAACCAATTGAGACACAAACCACTAAAGTTGACATGCTTTTGACTTCAAAAACAACAAGACTGGAAATCTATGAAGGGGTAGTTGAAGCAATAGACAGTGATTATTTAATGAAGGTGAAGTTGATCAAGGTGGAGAAAGAAGAGTTACTCACAGTGGACAATCCACACCTTGAAAACTTACAAAGAGAGTTTGAACACCTGAAGAATGCAAAATTTGTTGATAATGATCAAAAGCTCAATTACCTATACATATGGTTTTGTGAAGCGGGAATATGCGCGGATAAAACTCGCACGAATCCTCTAGTGGAAACTGAGGGGCAACCAATTGCAGAAAAAACAAAACTCGGATGGTTTGCCATGAGCCCTGGTGTGGAACCAAACAGTAAAAGGATGTTGCTTACCCAAATTTCGCAGAAGGATTATGAAGATCTCTGCAGGTTGGATGTGCTGGGCCTAGCAGACACTGCTCAACACGACCAATCAATGGTGTATAACGAATTCAAAAAGCAATTAACGCGATCACCGGAGGGCTGGTACGAGACCGGTCTTCCATGGCGCGGAAATCATCCACCTCTCCCATCGAACAAAACAGGAAGCATCAGAAGGTTGGAATCTTCAGAGCGACGACTACAGCGAAAGAAATTAACTGAAGATTACAACACAGTAATCCAAGACCAAAAGCACAATGGCATAGTTGAACCAGCAACTAACGTAGCAAAAGGTAATGAATTGTACATACCTCACAAAGAAGTCGTACGCGAGTCAGCGCAGTCCACTAAACTGAGAGTGGTGTACGATGCATCAGCAAAAGCTTCACCAGAAAGTCCTTCTTGAAACGAATTCCTGTACGCGGGACCTACGTACAAGCTGTGGGAAGTGCTGGTAAGAGCGCGAAGTTTTCCTGTTGCAATCACTGGGGATATGCAAAAGGCATTTCTCCAAATTCGTGTACTCGAAAGTGAACGGGATTTATTAAGATTTCACTGGCGACCAAATCCACAGGCTGATGTAGAAATACTACGGTTCACGAGAGTATTGTTTGGATTGGTTTCTTCTCCATTCCTACTTGGGGGAGTTCTCGAAACGCATTTGGATCACTGGAAAGCAGGGGCGGATCTAGACCGATGCAACCGATGCGAATGCATCGGTCAAAATATTTAGCTATTAAAATCTGCGAGTTTGCGTTTTAATGAAATAAACAGCAAATATTATTTTCGAGTTATTTAAAACGCACATTTGACAGTGATATATTGTTTAGTTAACTTATAGATTTAGCAGTTTTAAGCTAAAATTTGTTCTAGAAATAACATTTGTGTTCTCCGATAATTTTGTCGTATTCCATGACACAAATAGCGAAAGAAAAGTCGATAAAATTTAGCGAAATTTTGTCGTGAATACATAATTAGTAAGTAATTTAATAGTATTCTGCCAGCACGTCACGGTAGATGGAAGAGGCATCGCCACGTCACAGTAGATTTGCGATGCATCGGTCGATGCATCGGTCCCGAGTCCTTTTCCGCGTGAAATCTACTGTGACATCAGCAAAACCATTGTTTTAGGGCCTCACGTCACGGTAGATTTTGCGGCTGAGCGATGCATTTTCCATAATTTTGTGATTGTGGGCACATGGCACCGATGCATTCAACTTTGAACTTCAAAGTTGAATGCATTGTTATTTGATCACTTGATATAACTCGCAATCATCGATCGAAGTCATGGCTGTCGAAAATATCAAACACGATCTGTGTACTCTGCTTCGAGAAGAGAAGTCATTTGATATTAATGGAGTGCGTCGAACCTATGAAACGAGAGCTGCTACTTTTATTTCAAAATCCTCTCCTTGGAATCCCTTTTCAAAGGGTAAAAATGGGAGAGATATGTCAAGTGAAATGTTAATACCTAAGCACTTGACAGTTCATTGGCAAAGTGGAGAACTAAGAGCTTTAAAGTAAGTAAATTTACCTTTATGCTTGCATGTTTTAAATGTAAATAGTGTACTCATTTCAGACTCAGAGTGTAGTCGTGTAGATAACGACGAACAATCATCATAAAATATACACGATGTCATATTACTTATGCAGCACTTATACTTGTATTCATATGTAATATAATACAAACTGTAATATGCAGGGGTAGGTGCGATTTTAGTTGCATTTTAGTTTATGTATTGTATGGATTACATTAAAAATGTGAGTGTGAAAGATCCGTTTCTGCCCTTCGTCGAATGAAAATTTGGTTACGTAGCACAATGATCAACGAAAGGTTAAATGGATTAGCCCAAATGCATATTAATGATGATATTAAGTGTGATGTCGAAGAAGTGATTAATACCTTTGCTAGACAAAACCCAACGAGGATGCAATTTCTTGATATCCTGGAGGATAAAGAAACAGATGCTTGACGATGAGCTCCATGAGAAATTCTTAATGCTGATAAACAACCTACATTTTCTTTGAGAGTTATCTTGTTTTCAGCCGTTATTGAGAGGACGAAGACCACGTTTAAACATTGATTTTCTTAAACATTTCATCTTTGCTGTGGTTGGAAGAAGACGATCTTTCAACATTGCTTTTATAATTGTTGTCATCTTTGCTGCCGTTAGAAGAAGACCATCTTTGAACATTGCTTTCATTAAACTTTTCATCTTTTTTACCGTTGGAAGACCACCTTTGAACATTGCTTTTATCAATGCTGTTATCTAACAAAAGACGGCTCATGTTATTTTTTCGATAAAATTTACGCTTAAGATTTTTCTGTCACCTTTCCCAAATCGCTGGAAAATGCTTCTCGGATAGTGAAAATTCAAAAATTTTCTGGGGGAGCATGCCCCCAGACCCCCCTAGCGGTGGCTCGCGCCTTCGGCGCTCGCAATGCATCGGTCAGCTAAGGAGCTGGATCCGCGCCTGCTGGAAAGGCGAAGCTCCAGACGCAGTTGAGGCTCTGAAAAGGTGTCTGTACGTTGATGACATCATTTCAGGAGGATGCACTGTGGATGGATGAAGCACGAAAAAGGAAATTGGAAGCTATTGACATTCTGGGTGACGCAACCTTTATCCTTCATAAGTGGGCGTCAAATGCAAAGGAGTTGGATGAAGGTAGTGTTAACAAAAATCATGAAGAGCAAACAGCTGCCAAACAACAATTTGGGGTGCAGCCAACTGAGACGAAGATCCTGGGTACAACGTGGAATAAAGAGAAAGATACGTTAAGTGTACAAATAGGACATTGTGGGAAATTGCCAACGAAGCGCAACATTTTCAGTCGACTGGCGAAGATTTATGATCCAATGGGAATTGCATTCCCTCTGCTTTTGCAAGGCAAACAAATCTATCGAGAGGTGTGTGACCTGAAATTACCTTAGGACGAGGAATTAATTGGTAAAATGAAGCAGAGCTGGAAGAAGTGGGAATGCACGTTACCAAGCGAAGTGACCGTGCCAAGAGCGGTTCTGTCGTTCCAAGAACCCGACTGTAGCTTAGAGATTCATGGATGCCAGCGGTGAAGGTTTGTGCGCAGTCGTCTACACGGTCGCTAAACAACCATCTGGAGTTACTCAGGAATAACTGGCAGCGAAATCAAGACTTGCCAAAAGAGGACTGACTATCCGGAGGTTAGAGCTTGTTGCAAGTCATATGGCCGCAAATTTGGTCTCGAATGCTAGCAATGCGCTGAGACACATTCCACACAGAAAACACTGCTGGTCAGATAATACTGTAGCTTTATGGTGGATTAAAGGAGAGGGTGATTATAAACAATTCGTGTCGCATCGAGTGGCAAAAATCCGAGCTTCTAATGAGATCGTGTGGCATCATGTGCCAACAACCGACAATCTGGCCGACCTCGGAAGCAGAGGTGGCAAACTGACCGAGATGTGGATGAAAGATCCTGCCTGGCTATCAGAGCGTAGTCTTTGGCCACCAGATCTTACAGTCAAACCGTCGATTGACTCCCAAAGTGAAGCAAAAACGACGAGAGTAGTTTTGAGCACGGCTATCCAGCGGTCAGACTTTGCAATATTGAGTGATGTTCTTGAAAAACATCCATTGCGGAAGGCGATTCGTATTGGGGCGTGGGTGAAACGATTTATTAATAATGCTCGACAAAACAGCGATGATATAAGACACGGGCCACTGACATCTGAAGAAGTGGAAGAGCAACACATGTCATGGATAAAAATGGTACAAGCCGGAGTCGCAGAAAACCCAAAGTCTCAAACGGATCTGATTCAGTTAAATGTACGACCCGACGATGACAAGATTTTAAGATGTCACAGTCGGATACAAGGAGAGTTCCCTATTTACTTGCCTGATGACGCTCTATTCACCGTGAAGTTAGTGGAAGATGCACACTTGGAAACACTCCATGGGGGAGTTATACTTACGATGGCAAAGGTCCGTGAAAGGTATTGGGTTCCTCGGCTTCGTCGATTAGTCAAAAAGCAAAGGAAGAGATGCTGCAGATGCAAGAGATTCACGACCAAACCGTATCAAGCTCCAATACCTGCTCCTTTACCAAAGACTCGAACAGAAGGAACCACACCGTATAAAGTCATTGGTGTTGATTTCGCCGGTCCGATTAAGTATAAAGGCAAGAAAAATCAAGAAGGAAAAGGCTATTTGTGCTCTTTTTTCCTGTAGTTTGACGCGAAGAGTCTATCTTGAATTGTTGAAGAGTCTTGAGGCAACTTCTTTCCTGCAAAGTCTAAAACGGGTCATAGCAAGGCGAGGTCGTCCTTTGCTGATCTATTCGGACAATGCGAAAACGTTCCAAGCTGCAGCGGCATGGTTAAAGAGAGCAATGCAAGACGAGAGTTTTCACAGCGAGCTCAGTAGAAATAGCATTAAATGGAGATTCAATCTGTCCCGCGCACCCTGGTGGGGAGGCCAGTTTGAGCGATTGATCGGTGTATTCAAATCATCATTTTACAAAGTCGTTGGTAAAGGACTTCTGAAATTCGATGAACTGGCAGAAGTTGTTCTGGACGTAGAAATTTGTATGAATAATCGACCACTGAGCTATGTAGAGGATGATGTTGAACTCCCCGTACTGACGCTATCTTCGTTCGTACTGCAACAGACGAATGTCATCCCTGAAGTGGAGAGTCATCACATTAAGGACGGTGAATTACGGAAGCGAGCAAAGTATCTGCACAAAATCAAAACCCAATTGTGGAACAGATGGCAGCGAGAATATTTAAAAAGTCTACGCCAACGCAATCAAGTTAACAAATCAGCAACCGAATCTCATCCGAAAGAGGAGGATATCGTTTCAATTAAGGGTGATGAGAAAAACAGAAATATGTGGAATATCGGAAAGGTAACTATGTTGATCCGTGGAAGGGATGGAGTTGTGAGAGGAGTCAAACTTCAGTGTGGGAAAATATCTCTTGAGAGGCAATCCAACTGATCTATCCTTTAGAATTATAATGTGACGTCAGCAACCATCAAAAGAAGTTGCGAGTGAACGCCAAAGAATTCATACCAAGATGACAAGCTGCTGTGGTTGCGGAGGCGATAAATCAGGAGCTAATGGAACAGGAATGAAATAAACTTCGAGACAAAGTGATATAACATGTGACTCATTCGTAGTCGCATGTGGGGGAGGGTGTTGCAAATTGTGTTAAAGTTGTGTTGGGTTTCAATTGTACATTCGAGCACCTCGGGGACGATAGTACGGTGGCCCACAAGGGACATGCAACTTACATAAGGCAGATGACGCCAAATTAAGTCGGTTGCTGCAAGTTAAGTCTGTTGCTGCAAATTAAGTCGGTTGCTGCAAGTTAAGTCTGTTGCTGCAAATTACGGTGGCCCACAAGGGACATGCAACTTACATAAGTCTGTTGCTGCAAATTAAGTCGGTTGCTGCAAGTTAAGTCTGTTGCTGCAAATTAAGTCGGTTGCTGCAAGTTAAGTCTGTTGCTGCAAATTAAGTCGGTTGCTGCAAGTTAAGTCTGTTGCTGCAAATTAAGTCGGTTGCTGCAAGTTAAGTCTGTTGCTGCAAGTTAAGTCTGTTGCTGCAAATAAAGTCGGTTGCTGCAAAATAAATGTACTTTAGCAAATATATCATGAAGTATTACCATAACTAAGTTAAAGTTGAATCATTGAATAAGTAAAGAACATCAACATCCAAAAGCGTTTTAATATTATTTGCTATACTTGTTAATGTACTGCCACATTTGTGGAGGCGTGAATCCCGAAGGGGCAAAATTTATCTGCCATTGCGGAAAGGAGCAACAAAAGGTGAAGAATAGTGGTAACAGTGATGGGATTTCAATTTCCAGCAACAGTGTCAGAGGACTCAGTGCACACCTTACGTCTACCCGCCACAAGGCTTAAACAAAGCTCATTCGGGCGAGAAAAAGGTATTGACATTTACGGAATACAAAAAGCGAAAGTGCGAGAGTAGATCTTCGTTTTTATCAAAATCAAAGAAGAGTGTGGATGAGAAACATGTGATACAAATAGGTTTAATGAAATATGATGGAAAGACAAAGAAACTCAAGCCAGCTCGTGGCCGTTTAGCGCTTGAAATCTCAGCCAGTGCTTCATCATCAGTAATTTTAAATGCAGCAATTGAAAAGTATAGTGCTTTTGAGCGGTCATTTGTCAAAGATTGTGAGTATGCACTCCTTTACCCTGATGGTTCTGAAGTTGTTAATATTCCTGGAACTTCGGATCCATTTGTCTTGAGTCAGTACAAAAAGGCTTCAGGAAAATCCTACTCAAGGATAACAATGTTCATGGCGACAAGAAAAGATGTTCTTTTTGATTCTTTGCCTAAGGCAGAAGACTTTACATCAGACACTGACTCTGACGATTCTTTTTTGAATGAAGGGGCTTGTAGGTATGGAAACAGTAGCACTTCATGTTTCATCAATACATCATTTGACAACAATAAAGAAACTTGTTTTATTGACTTATCAAAGGATTCTTTTAATCATTCTACCAATACATCTGCAATAATGAATAATCCTACATTTGATGAATCATCCAAACAAGGCTTAACTTTTCCTGCACAAATAGACAATGGATTGGCATCTACTCCTTCATTTGATGACTTTTCTAAACCTGACATAAACTTGCATGCGGAAGCAGATGATGGATTGGCATCAGCAGCTACTAGTTCAGCTATACAGTGTCCAATATGCTTCTTGCCATTTTCAGTGAAAGATATTGCTGAACATGCTGACATATGTAATAGCTGGTTACTTGATGACACTTCTCATAAGAAAGAGACAGTACTTAGCAATATTGAGAGCTCTGTAAAAGATGTTATCATTATTATGATTTTGAGCTATCATTATTATCAGAAAAACAAGCACACAAAAGTCCAGAGGAGATAAAATCTGTGTTGAAAGAGTCTATAAAACTTATGAATAATAATATTTTGAAGCAAGACAGAGTAAGAATAAATGTTCGAAGAAAGTTTCTATGGATTGACTTTAAACAAGCACGTCTTACAAAGATCAAACCTGATGACAACTTAAAGGTTGTGTTTATTGGCGAATGTGCGATTGATGATGGAGGACCAAAAAGAGAGTTCTTCACAGGTAAACTTGATGTTTTTCATATTTAACCTCCACAATCACTGTAAAACAGTGGTATTTAAAATTATTTATGTTCATTAATGTTGCTTTTGTAGAATTGTTAGAAGCAGGAAAAGGAAGTTAATGTCTCGTGGATTTCCCAATGATTCCACAATGGCACTGATGGCTAATGACTTCCGACTACTTGGTGAGGCTATGGTTATGTCTGTCATACAGGGTGGTCCAGCTCCAAATTTCTTAAATGAAAGTATATTCCAATATATTGCAAAGCAAGATTTATCTGCAGAAAATTGTCAAAATGAGGCATTTAAATCAGCAGCTATTAAGGTATGAAGTATTTTAGAAGATGACCTAACCTTATTGATCTTTTTCATTCTTATGTTCATTTTTATTGCATAAAGTTTAGTTTTATGTTCTGTATTACAGAAAGTTTAAATTGCTCTTTTTTGTATTTTAGTTATCATCTTGTATAACAGATGATGTACTTCATGAAACCATATTGGCAAATGAGATATTAGATGTTTTGCAGAATGTTAGATACACCGGTGTGCCTCAAAAAGAAAGTATCAAATCATCCAAAGACATAGTGCAGTATGTGTAATTTTTTTATTCTGCTAATATTTTTCTATCTAAAATTGCTTTCAAAAGTACTTCATCTTAGTATTAATGTATCAATGTACTTTCAATTGGCATCGTGTAAAAAATCAAAGTAACCTTCATTCTCATACACCTGGGAGTGGCTGCTGGAAAACACTCCTGCTACATAATCATAGCATGATAGTCATAACTACATCAGGAGTTAAAATGACGAATTTTTGCAAAATTGTTTACTCTCCACTCTTGCATAAATGGGTTGCTAGCTTAGTGTGCTGCTCACTTAGAGGAAAATAACCCTTTTATTTGCCTCTGCTCACATGCATTAATTGCTTTTGATTTGTTCTTTTTCACTAGATCTATTTGTATAAAAGATCAAATCTCTAACAGCGTAGCCCAGCTGCAACAACTTCAAGAAGGCTTGTCTAACTGTAATCTTCTTGACGCGATAAGAAAACAGCCACATGTATGGAAGGCAGTGTTTGTGCCGAGTGATATTTTCAAGTTTACTGCTGATGAGTTTCTTGACCATCTGCAACCTCAATATAGTAGCTTTCAAGCTTTGAAGATGAAGGAAGTGGATACCTTTAAATTCTTCAATGATGTAATACAAAAGTTTGAAGATGGTAAGGATACCAATATAAGCACATAAGCACATAAGCACATAAGCACATAAGCATATAAGATGAAGATGAAGCACATAAGATGAAGTTTGAAGATGAAGGAAGTGGATACCTTTAAATTCTTCAATGATGTAATACAAAAGTTTGAAGATGGTAAGGATACCAATATAAGCACATAAGGCTTATAAGGATACCAATATATATTGGTAAGGATACCAATATAAGCATATAAGGCTTATAAGGCTTACATAAACAATATGTTAGCTTACATATACAATAAGGCTTACATAAACAGTGCAGGAACACAATATGTATAGTGCACATATAAATTGTATTCTAGAGTAAAAATAAGATATTCTACAGCATGTTTCATCCGTGCAGAAGTTGCTAAGCTTAAAGGATAACAAAATAAGTTTAATGGTGATGTTATAGATCCATTTCGATGTTTTGAAGAGAAAAATTTACCAAATTCGGAGTGCATCGATCTACGCTTTCATTACCAAAACTCTGCAACACAACAATCAGCTCATTAACAAATAAATTTGCTAATTAAATGAGATATGATCTTCGCAGTTAGCTGGACAATTTAAGCAATCGTCTCAGGACCTGAAAATATCAGGTGACTAAGTTCGACATGACCTCTGTAGTGCTACCACTGTATGAAGTCACAGTGGTGAAGCAGGTCAATGCACTCATATTTTCAAATAATGTCATAGATGTTTTGTACAGTGCAGTGTAAATTAAATGCTTCATTACACAATTTAAGCAATCGTGCTCGATCGTTGAGTCACCTGATATTTTCATCCTGAGACGATTGCTTAAAGTTCCATATCATTATTCAAATAAAGTTTCAAATAAAGTTGCAATGTTATATGTGCGGTGCAATTTTATTTAAACATCTACAGCGTGTGTTATAAGCTATGTTTTTGCCACTGAGGTAATAATGTTAATGCATTTCAGGTTTGCAAAATTTAACTATGACAGATTTCCTGCAATGGTGCAGTGGCTCCAAGGAAGTACCGCCGTTAGGTTTTCCCAATAAGTTCAATGTTGCTTTCATCCATGGTTGCAAAGATTGCTGCAAATGTAGACCATCTACGTCACCATGTGACTTGCTGGTAAGTTACCTGTTCATATAGCTTCGGAATGTGAAATGGAAGAATTAATGGTTTCTGCCATTGGGGATTCGTGTGATTTTGGACTTATCTGAAAAGCAGATCTGACAATTGAAACTAATACTTTAATCGACTTGATCATTGCGAAATCGTTTTGTTGATGTTATGGTTATTCGCTTACACTCTAGTGTGTTATGAGAGGCGTATGTACGTAAACAACATTTACAGCAAAGTCAAACGTCGTGCCTGGTTTGTCCATGACGTGAAACTCATGTTTTTTGTCGATTTTCCGTTAACATTTAATCCTTATCATTAGCAGCTTCTACTAAGCATTGAAATAGTGCTAATGCTTCAGTTGCATTATTTGGAAGACGTAGTCCTTTTATTTCCATTACATGTTCGAAATACTCTTTGTAGTCATTTAGTCCTTCTTCCATCTCACATTCTTCCTCCATTTCGTTAATTTTGTCTGTTGGCACTTGGACAATGTAGTCAGCTCCACCAGTTAATTCTGGTAAAAAGTAAAGAAGATTTGGCACGCCAGGTATAGTATCATATCGCGAACGTCGGATATAGTGAGTGTTCCAGTGGTCAATTATATCATTGAGTTCATTTTGTAGCACAGATTGGAAACAAAACCAGAGGCACTCCATGTGAATTAAGTTTCCAAGAAGAACAACCCCATCGTGAACTAGACCTTTAAAAAAATTAATCCACCAGTTGCTTCGACTACGACGAAAGTACGACCACCAATTTTCTATCCTCTGGTTTGCGTGAGAAGAACCATAGCGATGAGCATTCTCTCCTGCCAAGTCATCTGTCCCATTATCTCTAAAATAACATTGCATTGAAGCCGCCAATCCATTCTCTGTGCCACAGTCACTCCATAATAGAAGTGGACATCCGAGGTTTTCTTTTACACTTTTAAGAAAAAGATTTGCAGGCACTTTTGGGTCGTTGTTGGATTTTACCACTTCAAGCCAAATTATCCGTCGGCTGTAACCATCTATAGCCCCATGAATAGGGAATCCATAGGGCTTTAATTTGTCATAGCCTGTAACAATTAGCAATGGTGTGATTAATATGAAATAAAACATTATGTTATGTTTTATAACCAATCAAAACAGGCAAACCAAATAAATCAACGTAGCCATCTTTTGTACTTTAGTAAATTTCAATTTTCCTACCGTCCATGTGCCAGCAAAGTTTGGACCGTATGATCGATATACTCGTCGTTGGAGACAGTGAGTTTTCCTTTGCTGGACACCTTGTGGATCAATTTCCTTCATTATTAATGCCACTTTTTTACGTGAAACGTGTACGTGGAATCGATGACGCAGGGTATGCCAGATTGTTCGATATCCTGACAAGCTTCCAGCATCATTTATTAGCTGACTAATAGTTTCTTTTAGCCCATCGTCATCAATACAATCATCACTTTTTCGTTTTTGAAACCATATTCTCTGAGTTTTCTTTTAAAGTTCTACAACACATTTTACGGCATGATGCTTGTCTAGAAGTAAAACTATTTCGTTGTATTTATATCCTGAATAAAAATAATTTTCTATTAAAGTCCTTAAATCGTTTTCGTTATCTTCAGCAGCCATTTTTATTATTTATTCAGCAGCATACGACAATTGCAAATCGCAGCAACGGACTTAACTTGCAGCAACAGACTTGCAGCAACAGACTTAACTTGCAGCAACAGACTTAACTTGCAGCAACCGACTTAATTTGCAGCAACAGACTTAACTTGCAGCAATCGACTTAATTTGCAGCAACAGACTTAACTTGCAGCAACCGACTTAATTTGCAGCAACAGACTTAACTTGCAGCAACCGACTTAATTTGCAGCAACAGACTTGACTTGCAGCAACCGACTTAATTTGGCGTCATCTGCCTTATGTAAGTTGCATGTCCCTTGTGGGCCACCGTACGATAGGGAACAATGCAAACAACATGAGTGGAACGGAAGTAGAGAGAGCAGAGAACGGAAGTGAGAGGGGCGAGACAAGGGAGAGAAGCGAGGTACTTTAAGGAATAAGAATAAAAATTGTTTAAGAAACCAAAATTGTTATTGTGATTATTCTTCGTGTTCCGAAGACATTGGGACGGAGGTCAATTTTCGGAATATGACAATCCCCGAAACACGACCATCGCCCATCCTGAAGTATTTAAAATAAAAAGGAAACACCGTCACATGTTTGGCTGCTGGTTCATATGAACCTGGGCTCATAAGAGTACGATCACCATAAACGATCTTGTTGAACAACTGTCACAAACTTGCAGGGAAGAACAGGAGATCTTACCTTATAAATTTCAGGAGCAATAGCTGATAACCAAATACCCATAGAGACATCCTCCCCGTTTACACAAGAAAGAAAATAAACATGTGTCAATATCTAGTACTCTGAGAACTACATCCTTACATCAACAGGTCACTTTCAACATTGTAATCTCGTCGTGGTTTTAATATACCTGATAACGTTTTAGAGATTTCTCGTTTTTTGCCAGCCCGTGAACAATATCCGAAGATATAATGCTGCCCGCACCGCAGGCAAATGTCGGATAAGTCACTTCCGGATATTAAGGCTCGGCCCATTTTCCCTGTCTATCGATCAACCAATCAGTACGAAAGCTGTAAATATGAAGAAGCAATTGCATTTGGAAGCAATAACTACAACTCATATTTTCATATCTTATTCATAGTTTAGTCGCATGGAAAACGCTAATTCGTATGTTCGCAATCTCGTTTCTGTTTTACTTGAAAAAAATTATCAAATTTGGCAATTCCAAGTGCCCAAAACATGATATCTCAAAAGGATTCGCATTACGTAAATAAAATCTTTAAAATGGACTCAGTATAAAGTAAATGGTTTGAGCCCGGGTGTATCGTTACATGTTTGTAGATGTAGATCGTCCAGGTTAGTAGAGTCCTGAGAAGGACTGTTGATGTTGATGTTGACTGACATTTCAACAATCTTAGCAGTAGTATTTTTGACTCTAAGATGACTACCGCTGTCGAAACGTCAGTCAACATCAACACCAACAGTCCTTCTCTGGACTCTAACCTGGATGATCTATCTCAAACACGTACTCAGTATATTGTGTACTGACGGAGTTGAGCTAAACTCACCTTCCCCACCACAATTTGGACGTGTTTTTTAAATTTCCAGTTCCTAAAAATATCAAATATTTTTTAAGTGGAGAAGTTCTTCGGTACAATGTTAGATATATAAAGTTTAACTAAAGACACTTACCAATCGGTTGATTGAGTAAAATCTTTAGATTGAGTTGAAAATCATCTGTAAAGCTTGTATACTTCCGGAGGTAATTAATGTTAAAATCGACTCTTTACTGAGCATGCGCAATTGTAGACACTCGGGATGAAGCTCATTCCAAAGCTCTCAATGAGAGGTCTGGAATGGTGTAAAAATCATCTCCACAGCGTGGTTTAAGTGTAGCGTAAGGTGTTTTAAGGGTGGTTTGAGGGTGGCTTCAGCGTGTTTTAAAGGTGGGTCCAAGACTTCAAGCTGCGCTTCGCTACCCTAGACTACGGTTAAACCACCCTTAAACTACCTTAACCTAAAACCACCTATAAACCACTTTTAAAACCACCCTTAAACCACCAGATTGATATACTCCAAGATCCCAAGATACTCTACGTACTCCCAACTCCCAAGATACTAACATGTATTTTTCTATTATTTATTGAAGAGCTTTCCAAATCCTGTAAGATGGTCTCCAGGTTAACAAAACAATCATCGTCAGTTTTCATTACAAAGGAAAAACTTAAAGTCGCCGAGAGCCTATTTAAAAAGAAAAGCTGAGATGAAGAAAGATCAAAATGACATATGACGACTGATGTCGTAGGTAAGGAGATAATAGCGAGACGAATGATACACTAATGCAAGTTATTTGGGCAAAATAACGTTTTAAGTTGATTTGACATTGCCAAAATCGCCAGAAATTTCACAGTTGCATGAAAAAATATATAAAAAGTCTCAGATATTCTCTTACCACGCGAAAAACTGAAGCAACTGGGATGGAAGATTTCTGTAAACATCGACATTTGAAACAAAAAGAATATCAGAAATAGTTCTGCTTTCTTTGTGTAAACGTTCGTTTTCATCGTCTTTCAATCGCTGCCACTCCGACATTCGACCTTCTTCCTCTTTCGTCACGACTCTCTTCCCAGAGAATCTACGGAAGATTGCAAGTTGCTACAGACTTTAAAGAAATTTATTCATAATGTATTGCACTATCTTTTCTTTTAATATTGGGTGAGGGAATAATAGTGTTTAGCACTAGGCTTTAAACTTCAGTTCAAATTTTATTTTAAATTTTTTGAGTAAGCAAAACAACGCGCTAATGTGTGGATGAACCAATGGGAAGAACCAGTAAATAACTTGCTGAAGCCCCAAATTAATTGAGAACTCATCTGAAGATGCACAAACAACTCAACAAACCTTTCGAGTTTACACTCATGGCAACGACCAACAGAACAAGCTTGCACAGCTTTCAGAGTAATTGGCTCCTTGTTCACATATTAGAGAAATCATATGAACTTGCGCAGTCTATTTGACAAACTTTTCAATTTCATAGTCACGGCAACGACAAGCTGGATTTATTTTCATCGCTTTCTGAGTAATTAAATCGCTTAATCACATAAATGTAAGAAAGATCATCTGAGCATGCGCAGTACGCGTGGACATGCGCAGTATGTGCAAAGCCCACTTGACCAATTGTTCAAGTACTTGGTCATGGAAATGACCAACTGCATTTATTAGAATCAATTAAGGAGTATATAACTTGCTTATTAGCAAATTATTAAAGATATCAACTGAGCATGCGCATTTCACTTAACAGTTTTTTGACTTCATAGTTATGGCAACGACCAGCTGAATCTACTAGCACCGATTTGAAGTAAAAGCATGGTTAGTAACAATTTAATGGAGAAATAATCTGCGCATGCGCACACTCGACTTATTGTTCATAGTCATGGCAACGACTAATTATATGTACTTGAACAATATTTGTAGCAATTAGCTCTCTTAGTCGCAAATGATGAAAGAAATTATCTGGGCATGCAGTAGTGACTTTAATAATACCATAACTTTCGTAAGCCTCTATATTTTTCTATATATATAAATCCATAAACGATAAAAGTTTCTCCAGATTTTAAATGATTTTTATTGAGCTTTCGACTCGATGCTTCGAGCCTTCATCAGAATGAGGATATTTATTTACACGTGCTTTTATCTTGGAAACGTTTAGAGCGTCTAATTGGATTAGTGGGTGGATTAATGTGATTGGATGGGGTGAAATGCGTTGCCATGGGTTTTGGTGTATTGTGAATATGATTGGTGTTAAAAATATTAGAGTGTAGTGTTTTAGTTTTGGTGTTGTTTGTAGTTTTTTTGTCCTTTTTCATTAGTTGTGAGTATATGATGGGTATGTCGATATGTCTGTTTATTGTGTCGTTGTCTTTACTGCACAAAGCTTTAAATTCGCGTGCGTGTTTAGACTGTGCGCGTCCGAGTACTTTAGTTTCTGTCCAGTCGAATGTGTGGTTGTTTCCGTGGGTATGTTCTGCCGGAAGTGAGTTCGGATCTCTTCGTTTTATGGCGTTTTTGTGTTCGGTGAGTCTTGTTTCAATTTTCTTAGATGTTTGTCCTATGTATTGCTTTGAACAGTCTTTACATGGTATCATGTAGAGCGCGTCAGTTGTATCATGAATTGTAGTTTTGTCTTTATGTTTGGTGAAACATGATTTGAGTTTTTGTGTAGGTTTGTGGGTGACGTTAATATTAAATGGCCGAAGAAGTCTGGCAGTCATTTCTGATGTTCCGTTTATGTATGGTAATGTGACGATTTTTACTGTTTCGTCCGGTTTTTTGTTGTTTGTCGGTTTGTGTTTTGTTTTGTATTTTGTATATAGTTTTGTTTATGAAGTTTCTAGGGTAATTGTTTTTAGTAAATGTGGAGTATAAGTAGTTGCGGTCTGTTTTTTTGGCTTCTTCAGTATTACAATGAGTGTTTATCCTGCTGAAAAGTGTTCGAATGCAGCTTTATTTGTGTTGTGTTGGATGATTGCTGTTGAAATCGAGTATTTGGTCTGTGTGGGTGGTTTTGCGGTATGTTACTGATTGTGTTTCGAGGTGCTGCATGACAGCTTCTGCGAGGAAGGTGGATAGTGGTGATCCCATTGGTGTGCCTGAAATTTGTCACCAATGGGATCACCACTATCAGTCACAAACAACACAAACATCAGACTATGGAAAAGATATGTCGACGACATCTTTACCTTATTTTCATGGTTCAATCTATAAATTAATTTCACATTTCAAGTGATTTTACGATTAAACAGCACACATTTCGGATTCATATGACTTCTTTTGATCTCAAAGAGACAGCCATCCAATTTATTACGTACATGCATGTAGTATGCATTTCATTGCAAGAAGCCACCCAACCAACAAATCCGATTTTAGCAGCATCGTACCCCGAGAAAAGCCTATCGCAAGGGTCTGATGGGCAGAAGCTTGCTATTGACATCCCAAAGTTGGATGGCGCGGAGGAGTCGAAATCTCCTACAGAAACGTTAACATGCCACCTTTCAATTAATAGGGTATCGAAATGGACCAAAAACGGGATTTTCTGTTTTCAAAATTTTCTCTTCTCTTAAAGAGTAAACAAAATTAAAAATTCTCGCAAGCTTGTAAGGGTTTGAGGCAATGCGTGGGCTACAACAGGAGAGGCATACTTCATTAAAATTAATCTAACATTGAGAAGAGGCTTACCCCGACAAATGCTAGCAACAAATCCACTTTACTGCTGAGGATATTATGTTTCTTTTTCAATGTGCGCAGAAAAACATCCTGTTATGAGCAACTGTTGCATCAAATTTCTCGTTGTTAACCGCGAAAACGAAGAAGTCAGTACGTACGTAATGTAGCATAAAAACACCTATTGTAAAGTCGATACATGAACGTTGCAGCCATATCAGCCTTCAACAAAGCATATCCAAAAGATTTCTATTAATGTATAAAAAGTATACAATCGTTAAAAAGATCACGCTTGCACGCTTTTTTCTTCACCAACTGAGCAAAGATTCTCTTTTTCTTTGAACTGCTTGTAGACAACCATTGAAAGATTATTCAAAACCTGTTCTAAGATTATCGTTTGTGCTTATTACGTAGGTTTGAGGGACAATATAATTACATGCATGTACGACAAAGTGATGGCAACAACAATTTAGTCATTTAACAAACTTTTCAATTTCATAGTGATGGCAACAACAAGCTGGATCGATTTCCATCGCTTTCTGAGTAATTAAATCGCTTGGTCACAAAAAATATAAAAAGATAGTGACTTTAATAATACCACAACTTTCGTAAGCCTGTAAATTTTTGTAAATATATATAAATCCATAACTTCATATAGTAGATGTCAACTAGCAGTGGAAGCTGGGTGCGATATAGTATGCAGTGGCTTAGGGGCCCACACTTCGGTGGCGACCGCACTCTCCCGAGGTGATCTCGGGGTCTGATGGGCAGAAGCTTGCTGTTGCATCTCCCAAGTAGGATAGCGTGGAGGGGCCGAAATCTCCTACCGAAACGTTAACAAGCGGCGTTCTAGTGCCTTACGCTTAAGAAGGTATCGGGAAGCATTGACCGAAAACGGGCCTTTTTTGCTTTCAAAATTTGGTTTTTTCTTTAAAAGAATTCTTCTCATAAAAGAAACTAGGACATACTGCCAAGGTTCAGACAACTTCTGAAAACCCCCCGGGGAGTAGTTTCGTTTCCATTGAAATACGAGGAGAATACTAACTTGAAAACATGAAAACTGGGTGACATAATATTTACCATAAACTAAGACAAGACATGTTAATTTTACTCCGTGACATCACTTTACTTTAAATTGAAAGGTTTGAACATGGCAGTATCCTTACATGTTTGTAGATGTAGATCGTCCAAGTTAGTAAAAACCTGAGAAGAACTGTTGTTGTTGATGTTGACTCTGAAGATGACTACCGCTAAGGTCTCGAGAAGTCAGTCAACATCAACATCAACAGTGCTTTGCAGGACTCCACTAACCTCGATGATCTACATCTACAAACATCTACTTCACTTACTCGGCTATCGGAAAAGAAAATGATGTCATTAACATAGAAGTGAACAAAAAAATTTCTCACAAACCGTAAAATTTCGGTAAGGTTGGGGTAAGCCATTTTGGCGTTCCTTTTGGTCAGAAAATATAATTGACCGCAGGCATTTCGTTGATCACGTGTACAAGAAGAAATAAGTTACATACAAACAAATAGTGGTGTTTCAACTATATTTTCGTATCCTGTGGTAAAAACATTGAATACCCTACCCTTACAAGTTCCTTGATGCAAGAATGGTAAATTTTGTAAATAGCTTTGGCTGATGGCAGACCAATATACTGTTTGATGTCGGCTCTGTGGGCGAACAAATAGCGAAGTTAGATGAGAAAGTGAATTAAAAAACTTTCGAGTCATAAACATATTTTTCAACCTGTCCACGAATGCAACGTCTATGGCTCCAGTTATGTTCGATGTTGTCAATATAATTATATTAGGATGTCTGAAATAAGAAGAAAACAACATTGGGGAAGCCAAGGTTTAGCAAATAAACGCATAAATGTAGTTCAAATGAAGACTTCTGTAAATGCGTAATTGATAGATAATAAGTATTTGACTGAGCAAAGTTGTCATCAAGCAAGTTTGTTCATGTCATATAAATATTTTCGTGCTTTTACTCCCTGTAAAAGCGACAACTTTGTAGAGAAAGAAATAATACATAGTTCTAAAGATAGGAAATACCATAGTGAATGGTAAATGTAATATAATAAGTTGATAAAGACTGTTGTCTTGGCATTAAAATATCAGTAGATTGTAAATTTTCATTTAGCAGACGTTGACACCTGAGGAGTAGTCTGCCGAAATGCATCGTGTCGTTTAATTTGGAACTATTGGGTTAGTGCTCTTTAATTATAACAGTTCTTTTAAGAACCATTAACTTATTATATTACTTTTACCATTTACTATGGTATTTCTATCTTTAGAAATATTTTCAGATTTGTCACCACGACAAAGTCTCTATTTTATTAAATAATACATAACGCAACAACGCTGCCGGCTGCCCTCGCCGTTCATATAACCGAATACAATCTCTTAGTTCACTAAAAAATCCATGAGGACGCAATGTTCGCCGAAATGCATATTCTGCTTACATTTTGCATTTACATTTTCATATGGTCAATTTGAGTGAGAAATGCATTCACAACACGAATGGCATCTGAAGGTTCTTGTTCGTTCAACGCAGATTTTCTTGCCGATGTTAAACTTTCAACCTTCAGAAGTAAAAGCAATGGATAGCAAAGGTATTTTCCTCAAACATCATCGACAAGCGTACATGTGCTTCGGGTATTTCGTGAAACAAGAAACAGAAATAGTAAATGATTTTTCATCTCTCTGAGCATGAGCACTAAGAAAGAAATGTTTAAGCAAAGTTTATCTCGTCGATAAGAACGCAAACTAAAGCTTGTTTGTCGTCAATAAACTCTTGAATTTTCTGGAACATTTTCACCCCTAACTTCCATCTCTATTTGTAGAGAAAGATAATGTTAATGTACATTTTAAATTACAGATGCAATTTTCAATTGGATATGATCATTTTGTGGTACGAAACTAGATTTATTAACTGGAACGACATCTCAATCCCAGGTCAGTATATAAATGTCAGTTCTCTAAATTGATATTTTGATGTGAGCCGTGCATTTTACATTGACAGGGGGTTACGACAAAAGTGGATGACAGTTTGATAGATGATTGAAATCACGGAAAATTTATGGCAATGTTTTGTGGTTCCAGAAGATTTTCGAACTCGGTGATGTTGCTTTGAGCTATTCAAAATGATGCCTAATTTGGAAAACCACTTCGAGAATAAACTGTGACTGTTTATTTCAATAAGCTGGCCATAGTTAAATCTAAGGATTCAAAAGTAGAAACACACTTTAATTTATAGTTCATAATCCTTAGGCAGACGACAATTTCATTAAAAACAAAGTAAAAGATAATGCAAAAAAAAAATCTTGTAAACTTAAATAAAAGTTACAAAGCAAAACAATTGAAAGTGTAATATTTACATTTTTAATCGTCTTGTTTTCTAAATTGAATGTTGAGTTTACAACATTTCCTTTTTCGGATTATATTTTGTATTTATAATTCACGACATAACAATAAAATTACGTGGCAATATTAGTTGCAGTACACACATGGATAGTAATGGACTGCGATTTACGTAACATCAAAATAAATTGTAGTGTTTTTACCTTTTAGAAAGTCGTATAGATAATTTTTAAGCAAGCGCCTTGCAAAAGGATGTTTACCAGAACCGGGTGGCCCTGTGAAAGTTTTAAAGAAAAGCTCAACTCATTCTTCTGGATATTTGCTGTATATCATGTGAAGACAAACATGATATACTATGAGTGGTAAATGCTGGAATTTGATTGGCTTCGTCGTTTGTTTTCGAGTGACGTCACAGAGGTACACAAACATGGTGACTTCGACGTCATTTCATTGGTTGGCTCGTTAAAACACCATCACGTCTCTCGCGTTTTATTCTATCTCATTGTAGCTAACTTACTCTCATCAATACTTTGATATGTGATTTTTCAATCTTGAATGTTATGAGTGATAAGAGATTTACTCCATTAAGATGAGAGTTGTTACAAAGTCAACATACGCAAAAATAGAATCTAATTTGATTCGTAAAAAGATACACGTGACGGACGATGACGTAAGTACTCTAGTCTGGTTACCAAGGAAAATAACTCAAAATGCAGTAAGATAACTTTATTCCACGAGATGATGTTGAAATCCACGCCTCTAAAATATGATTCAAACACGTGACTTATATATGCTTTGAAATGTCATTGTTTGGGAGTGATTTTAGAAAGATGGAAAAACGGACGATTTTGCAATTTGACTTCTCTAAAAAGTCATCAGTTCAATAGTTTCCTTTCACACGACAAACCTGTCGGAGAAAGAAGTGTCGTTGCCGCATATTTTAGCAACAAAAAATTAGATAAAAATGAGACACATGAAATATCATAGTCATGGCACGACATATACTTTCGTAAATAAATTAGAAAACACAATGTCATCGCTTGCGTAAACCTTTTAAAACATTAGAGATTAATAAGTTAGTAGATCAGTAACTCCGTTGAACTTTGCTTGGAGATAAACGAGTACATAATGTACATTGGAGAATAGGAGAAACTAGGAAAATCCTTAAAAAATCTAATTGACGTTTTGACAGCTAACTGTTTAAACGTTAACTTATTTCGGCGCTAAAGACGTCATTAACAAGCTACAATTTAAACTTCGCTCACGGGACAAAACATTAAACGTTCATTGTGAAGAACAACCTGATATTTTACATCCGAGTCAAGGAGAAAGCTTTCCCACAAGCCCTGAAAATCCTCTAAAAATGATGAATTAATTGTATTAGTTGCTAATACTTGTAACTCGTTAAAGCGAAAAGACCTGGGACTGAAGTGAGTTGACCACCTGCAGGCAAATGCTACCCACCTGTAGGCAAAATTTACCCAGCTGTAGGCAAAAGCCAGTTGTCTGCAGCAGATATATCATCCTCAAGTTCTTCATATCCATGCCCCCCATCATGAAGTTGATAGACATGATACTTTAGCATAACCTTTTCAAATCAATTATCTGTTAAAAAAATTATGAAGGTTTGACAGAAATATGTACTTCATGTATATCTTCATTATCAAACTAAGTCAATCCTCTAAGAGTTCTTGCATTATCTTTTACGTGGGGCGTTCATCAAAAAGGGATGTGTGAAGTACCAGGGGGTGTGAACAACCTACTCTCACACATGCAAAAGTAAATATTGTCTGATAATAGGATCAATAACCTTGCCATATTTTGAAAATTATCTGTGTCACACACAATAGTTATGCTCTTGACATGTTCCTTCAAAAAAGGATCAACAAATTCCATGAAACATGAGTCGCCATGAAGTGTTTTCATGTTGATAAGAAAGTCTTCGACAACCTTTATAATTCTATACTCCGGGATAGTGCTAAAATAAAGTGGTAAATACTATTAAGATGTTAATGCTTATTATCAAATTGAATAAATGGTTTTGTTCTCATATTTTGACAGCACATTGGTATTTGAAGAAGTGAGTCTGTTGAAGCACAACCTATGACTAGTGATGTCAATCTAGTAACATATTAATATTTTTCAAGTTTCTTTAGAAAACAAAAACATGATTTGCTCATTACCTAGTTTCACCTGTAGCATGGTTTCACTAACACAGACTCACTCAACTAGATTATTACATGAAATGCAATACATTATCTTTCTGCATACAGTCCTTTGTTCATTTCATGAACTAACCTTTCTTTGCATTGAATTACTTCGACGTTTAAGAATGGCTGACATGGTAAAAGCAGTGCTTCAGAAGTTCTTGAACTTGATCCATTTTAACGATATTGCTTTAGTTAGAGATGTTATACAAAAGATAATTCACAATATTGACTGTGTAGGGAAAAAAACTTAAATATCTTTGATATGTAGAAATAAAAAATAGATGTCGCTTGAATTTCCCGCTATGAAAGTCAAAGACTCACACATAACAATAACATATATATCTTTTACCTTGTTTCAGCTTACATAAAAAAACTTTATAAGTTCTTTAAAATATTATTAGTCTTTCACTCTTTTACAACAGATATGTGGAAAGAAATATTCTTGCCGAGAACGAATACTTGTGAGGCTTAAAAATTAAAAAATTGTCATGTTGTTTACTTGGAAGACGATATATAGCTTTTACATGAAGTAGTTGACTTGATAATGATGGTCAAATGTGGCCTTCTTTCTAAGGAAATTTCTCAGAAAAGAATGCCCTATTTGAAGGAAATTTCTCGAAAAATGAATTGTTTCGACAAATTCCTGACAATTCTTAAATTTTTACAAGTTTATATACACGCTTTTTAATATTGCTCGTAATACAATATTTACAGTTGAGTCATTTTGGAAAACTGTATAAAACAAGATGAATCATATGAAGTAAGAACAGAAGACTTTGTTACAACGATTCCGTCATTGTAGCAAACATATCCTAGAGCTTAATCTGAGGGGTGGTGGAGGGTGGCACACTTGTATCACCATAGGACGCTTCTTGACATACGGTACATTGATAATACGTCAATCATCACCAAAATAACTGGATAAAACGAACGTAATCCCGTCTCGCATAGAACGACCTGTTCAAATGCAGCCAATCCCACTGCAGGAACAAAGCAATAGTTTTTTTCATAAATTATTTGTATAGAATATATCTATTTTTGAATGTTCTGTCAAGTGTCAATAAAGTGTTAAAGAAAAACAATAAGCAAAAGTTGGAACATTAACATCTACGTAATCACAAGCATAAGCAACGAGCGTGCTAAAGACTCTCTCGAGGGTTTACAGAAAAAAACATCAAAAATCATATTCTTCTTTTCAATCTTTTGTACTTCTTTCAGCTTACGAAACAACATAAAAAAAACACCACGCTTTTTATGGGCAAATTTATTCCTAAAGCTCCTCTCACCCACTCAAAAGAGCGAAGTTACCCCATTACACAGGTTTCAGGAAATGTGTTAGGCATTAGTTGAAAGAAGAACACAAAAAGAACAAGAGAAAAACGAAAGAAGATTTCCATGTCTTTCTCAGTAAACTCTGAAGAGAAAAAGAAATAAAGTTTTATCGTTTATGCTTATTCTATTCGTGTGTAACATGCATTCAATTTTGTATTCTCGCGAGACCTAAAAGACCAGGAAAACGGAAATTCTTTTGAATATTGTTTTGTTTATGCTCATGTTGACTCTAATCCTTCATTGATACTGTCTTGTTTGACAATTTATAATCACTTTTGCTTGTGCTGTAAGACTAGTATGACCAAAGACAGCACCAACAGCACCTTCTAGTTGTGTAACTTTGCCATTGGAAGTTGAAAAGAGGAAAATCATTTTTCTATGACAACCACAGGCTAAGAAATTCAATTTTAAAACAAATAATTTAAAAGTGTACACGGTTGAGAATCACTGACGATAAAGATAAAAGATGGCAATGAAGTGAACGCCAGAGCCAGGGTGTCACAAGAATTTATGATACTGAACATACTAAATTATTTGATCAGAGAGCCATGATAAAGTACTAAGAAGTAACCAAAGCAGGTAGAGATAGTCAGTGATTTATTAACGAACATAATTAGTTCATGGTGCGATGATTTCCGATACTGAAAAAATCAATTTCCTTTCTCTCGTATTCTATATTTCCAGACAACAGAGTTGACTTCAAGATGTTGCTAACGGAAGAAACAGATCATCCTTCGACCCAAAACATCCTTCTTCATTGTCCATATCAATAATTCGACCGACCAACAGAGAGCTAGCTTATGTTTGCTTATTGCCTAGTTCTGACACGTGCTTGATTTGGCATTAACTTGGGGATTTGGTAGTAAAGAGATGTGTTGTACTTGTGCAACAACTGACTGGCGCTTCTATATACCATGGAGTAATTTTGTAGATGTTAGCACAAATCAGTTACCATGCTTTAGAGCATGTTAATATAAGAGTGCTTCTTGCGCTCATATCTTGCATAAAATTAAAACAAAATCTAATTTACATTAAATCAATCATCATGGTTGAAAAGAGAAATTGCAATACGCTGGCAGAGTAATACAAAAATCTTTAAACTCAACATCTATGTGAAATGATTATAACGAGCCAGTCAAACTAGCCGTCTGCTTTGAATATTTAGGGGTTTAGTTGTACCTATGATTGCACTGTTATAATATTGAGGGATGTTATAACAGCGTCTACAAAGCAGTAAAAAATTTAACTTCTGGTGATGTTCTAATATTTGGTAAATGATTTAGCCAAAATAGCTATTTTGTATGATTGTATAGAACTATTGCAATCATAAAGATAATTCCTCGGGAGAGGAAACTGTTTCCAAATTTTCGAATCAAACTTGAGAGCTCGTCATGAATGCTCGTCTGTCCATTATGTTGAATGCTCGTCATGAATGCTCGTCTGTCCATTATGTTTCAGATGTTGATTTCGTTTGAAAAATTTGACAGTAATTTTTTGTGCCATTAAAGTAAACCTTTCTTGTAAATGTTTGCATTTTAATGATGTTTTCTGAAATAATCGTAAAGTACCAGTTTTGATAGAAATTCCGACAGATCGTCTGCAAACACTGGTTTTTGAAAATTTATATGCTCCTTCAGTTTGTCACGATTGTATTTTAACATTATTCTTACAGTTATTCATGGCACTGAACGATGAAGATTGAGACTGCGGTATGTGTTTGTTTGTCAGTTGTTTGCTTGTTTGCTTCATCATACTACAACTTTTTTCTCAGTATTTTTCATATGCAGAGGACGATAAGATCAAGAAGAGCAGAACAGAGATGTAAGCATGTATTTGTTTGTATCGTTCATCAAATCTTCTTTGCTTCAATCTCTTTCAGAACCACATTGCTATAACCCAGGGGCGGATCTAGGGGTAGGCACCATAGGCAAGTGCCTATGGTGAAATTACCAAAATATACTTCGACTTAGATTCGATACGAATTTATCGAATTATGAAACTATGAATAGCACTTTATCGCAGTCAAATCATCTGACTTTTGTTTAGAAATGTTGTGCAATTAAACGACGTAATTTTGATATGAATCGTAGTCCAGATGCGTATGATTATCTATAAAGCTCCATGTCGTTAGGCAAAGCAGCCATTTTGCCTAAGTCAAGAAAGCGATCTAGCCATTTGATTGGTTGTTAGCAATTAGCCTAAACAAGATGAATTTGCCTAACTTGACATCGTGTATAGGTATTCTGATTGGGCAATTTTTTGCAACCGTATGCTTTCATTGGTCAATTTTTTTGCTAACTAAGCAATTCCAACCAATCATTGCTGTTGATAAGCATAGTTGAGCTAGGCAAATTAGGCAATTGAAAATTAACATACACTCGTATTGTTTCTGAACAGCCTCTGTGCTCAGTTTACGGTTTTGTGATATTTTATAATGTCTTCATTGTGTTGTGGTAATTTATACGAGACTGCTCAGTCTGCGTTGGCCAAAAACGATTTAAAATGCCTTAATGAGCTTTATTCTCGTTTATTGGTCGACGTTCGACCTATGTTTACTAACGAGCAGCTGTTAGATAGAATTTATGACCCCGACCATACTCTGTGTCGAAATTTTGGAGCTGAAATATATGTGCCAAAGCACGCTCATGACGGAAAGACTTGTACTGCAATAAGGTAAATATATTATAATTATATATATCGTATTGTAGTATTTATATATACGTGTAAAATGGTTAAATCTCAATTTCGCTAGGCTATATCTTTGTCTACAGTCAGCAATTCATTCATACAATGCAATCAATCTACCAAACAAAATATTAATTTCTTTTCTTGAATATTTTTTAAGATCTGAAGCTTCTGGCAATTGCCTCTACAGTTCAGCTTCCCTAGTTCTGGTAGGTAACAATGCATTGGTCCCTACTTTGCGAATTTTAACATCGCTTGAGCTATTTATTCATGCTGCTTTTATGCTCAACACCCATGCTTTTTGTCTGTTATAAGTGAGCACAGTGATTACTTTGCCCAAAGCTTAAACAATCTTTTGCCTTTGTCAGTGTCTAAAGAATGTTTAGACACTGGATATACAACAGATGAACTGGTAAAACAGGAGGCTATTTTAAATTGTAATGACCAGAAATGGTCATCTTTTCTTTGTATTTTGGGCCTATCTTCTGTTTTAGGTAGAAAAATTCATACTTTTATCCTGATTCTGGTGAAAGTAGATATAAATTGTTATTTAATCGTATTGTTCAGCCCCGTTATTAAGCCAAAGAGGTTTGGATGCTATTAATATTTTGTTTTGTCATGAAGGATCTGTACAACCAGGTGAGACTTTTCAGTCTAATCATTTTGTGCCTCTCATTTTCCATGCCCACAGGTTGAAGCGAAAATTGTCTAATTCCTGTACACAGTCTAATTCTAGCAGCTCAACAACAGAGAAACGAAAATTTGTCAAAATTTTTCCAAATATTGCACCAAAACAGTTGACATTTCAAATTTTTTACTTCAACTAATAGGCCTGCTGCCCAACCAACTTTTAAAGGATGCCCAATGAGAGTTTTTCTTCTGCTGCAGCTCTTGCTCAGACATTAAATAAAGCCAATAGTCTTTTGCTTCACACATCATCCCAGGAACTATTGCCTGGTATTCCAACTTCTGGTGATATGCAACCTGCTGTTTTAACCCATAATTTTGATGTTTCCTTGTATAGGGAGAAAGTTAAGGGTATGGATAATTCTGAAATATGTCATTTGATAAAAAATGTATATAAACCAGATAAAAAGTATCATTTTCCTAAATCTAATGGCAGATCATTTAGGCATGATTGGCTAGACCAGCATGAATGGCTTTGCTATTCACCTTCACAAAATGGTGCGTATTGTCTATCGTGTGTGTTGTTTGGCAATAGATTCCCAGGCAAGGCCAGTAAAGTAAAAGTTGTTTACTGAACCTCTTCAAGATTGGAAGAATGCTAAATGCTCTTTCACTCAACATGCTGGAAAAAGTAAAGGGAGGAGAGTCGGTTTGCATGCATCCACATCACCAATTTTGATGCTTTGCGTTCCCAAATATCAGGTACTCTGCAGCCTATCGAGATGATCATGGATGCTGGTATCAAGAAAGAAATAGAACAGAATAGGAAATACTATCTCCAATTATTGATTCTGTCATTTTTTGTGGACGTCTAGGTTTACCTCTTCGTGGGCATCGTGATGATTCCAAGTATCACCCTACTGTTGGTTGTTATTCATCTGGAGGGGTTGGTAATTTCATTGAAACACTCAATTATGGAGTTAGGAGAGGGGATAAAGTTTTAGAAAATCATTTAAAGAATTGTGGTAAGAATAGAAGTTATATTTCTAAAACAAGTCAAAATAAAATCATTAAATGTTGTGGCCAGGTAATCAGTAATCAGATTATTTCTGATATCAAAAAGTAAGTTTTTTCTGTTATTGCTGATGAAGCATCTGATTCTTCACATAAAGAACAAATGTCTCTTGTTTTGCGCTTTGTTGATACCGATATGAATATCAGGGAAGAATTCATTTCATTTCTTTTTGTAAGTGGGGACTAAGTGGTGCTCAACTTGCCAAGCTACTTTTAGAGGCTCTAAAGGAACTGACTTTATCAATAGATGATTGTAGGGGGCAAGGTTATGATGGGGCTGGTTCAGTTGCTGGTTGCACTAATGGTCTAGCAGCTCAAATTTTAAAGCTTAACCCAAAGGCTCTTTATACACACTGCTATAGTCATAGGTTAAACTTATCCATTTGCGATTCTTTGAGTATACGTGTTGTCAATGATATGTTGAAACATGTTAACAATGCCACTAATTTTATTAAAATTTCCCAAACTCGCAATATTCCTTTGAAAACATATACGTAATTCAGAAACAAACTCGAAAAGACTAGATTAACAGACGTTTGCAAAACTAGATGGGTAGAACGTATCGAAGGTTTAGATACATTCCAAGAGCTTTTGTACCTGTATACACCACCCTTAACGATATGTCTGAAAATCTAGATGGTGAGTTCAAACCGTCGCTTCAGTCTGATGCCTCATCTTTGTTTCAACTTATTGACAGGTTTGATTTCGTCGTTGCTTTAGTTATCACGAGAAATATTCTTGATTCAACTCTTCCAGTAACACAGTTATTACAGGGTAAGAGTATCGATATAATGGATGGTATTCATTTAATTTCAACTTTGAAAACTGAGGTGGTGAACATGAGGAATTCCTCTGATTTTTATCATGACACCTGGTATGACGAAGCGCTTGAACTGGCAGCAAAAGTTGGCATTGAAGAATGGAAACCAAGAACAGTGCGCAAACAAACGACCAGGGAAAATATTCCCCACACAACCATTTCTGAGTATTATAAACGTGCAATTACTCTTCCTCTACTAGATCATTTGCAATCTTCTTTAGAATCACGATTCGACCTTGAGAGTGTGAATGTCTATAAAGGCCTTAGCATTGTACCGACGAAAATGATGTCCATGACAAGAGATGGGGTGGATTGGAAAGAGCCATTCAAAACTGTGGCTAACTTTTATTATGATGATTTGCCAAATCCTTTGGCCTTAGATGCTGAACTTAGGTTGTGGTACACTTATTGGGAGACCCACTGCGGCCTCCTTCCTGATAACATTGCCCAGACTTTAAAATCTGTTCATTTCGCCGGATTTGAAAACATTAAAATTTTACTACGTATTTTAGGAACGCTCCCATTACCTCTTGTGAATGTGAACGATCTATTTCTTCCCTTAGGACACTTAAAACTATCAGCGAAGTACCATGGTTGGGGAACGCTTAAATGGTTTGGCCTTGATGCAAATTCATCAGGAAATTGTACCAGATATTGGTGAGGTTATTAATACTTTTGCTGTTGGAAATACAAGGCTAAAATTTGCATGAATTTATTCATATCCTAGTTTTTTATTTTGTTGAAATGTCCATATGTTAACCATTTATTGTGCGTTGTACACAATAGTAACGTCAATAGAATTTGCATCAAACTAATAGCTCGCCCGATAAAGGTTTTTTTCCTATATACATTCCAATCTTAAAACTGCTGAGTACGTGTATGGTACTCGGCCGTTGTCGACATAAATTTACTTTCACAAAATTGTTAAGCATAAATAGAATAATTTTTCCTTACACCAAATTTTAGTCTTCACAAAGACTCTTTATACAAAGCTCTATTTTGACTATTACATTACATTTACATTCTGCTCATTTGTTGGCAAATGAGAGTGCACATTTTAGGTGGGGGGTAAAGGGTTGGAATTGACTGGGATGGTGTAAGAAACTGAGCAATCTTACATCCATGAAATGTCCCACATAGTCACCCATTTCTAACCAAACTCCTTTTGCTATTTGCTAAAGGTGTGAAAGGCGAGTTTCTGGCGCCTTCAAAAACCAGAGTGCACATTTTAGGTGGGGGGTAAAGGGTTGGAATTGACTGGGATGGTGTGAAAAATTGAGCAATATCACATCCATGAAATATCCCATATAGTCACCCATTTCTAACCAAACTCCTTTTTCAAAGGTGTGTAGGCGAACTTCTGGCGCCATAACCAGTCTGCTTAATTCGGCTCTCACAGGGCTGTCCATGCCGGATCACGATTTTTTGTTTTGCGTTAAAGTGTTCCTAGGCATGCTGATGAGCCCTGATATGGGGCGAAACAGTCTTGTGTGCATTCAATATTCTGAATAGTGAAAATCAACGACCTTGTGATATGTAAGTATAAATATACAATGTTTTTATGTATTTATACGATTGAGATCTACAAGATTCTGCATAGCTGAATGATTAGACTGTTTGATTTAAACAATTTATCGAAAGCATAAATAGTGTAGTATGTTTTGCAAAGTATGACGTCATAGGTTTAGCTGAATGACGTCATAATGTTTACCTATGGTATCCAAAATCCTAGATCCGCCCCTGCTATAACCTGTCATTTGTCAAGCAACGCTTTTGGTGTAAGTTAAACCAATTTTATTCCTTATTTTTTTGGACTAAATATTAGAATTTAAAGAAGGCATGTTTCGAAGACAAAATCTTCGACTTTCATTCTTCGGTGTTTGCAGATGATCATAAACATGCACAAAACACAAAAACATGCACATAAAAGATTATTTACAATATTCTAACTAAACTGAGAGTTCCCTCGCTCACTAATTTAGTGAAGAATTTCAGAAAAGAAATTCAAGTATTCCAAAATAGACTTCTGCCACCTATTTTGGAATAACTTTCACACAAAATTTCAAGCAGCGTACACTTGATATTCTCATAGAAATTTTTGTATTAAAATAAGATCATACGTATGTAATATAAACGATTAAATCAAAACAATTTTTCAAATGAAAGCCAAGTATTCAAAACTTCGATGTAAACTAATAGAATTTGAATACAATTGAAAGAACTCACTGTTTGTTCATTCTTGGAGAAAGATTGGGTGGTTGGAAATGGCATTAATTTTTTGGGAAACGGATGTTTTATATGGACCGTTTACATTCTCTATAATAAGTCGTTCATGTTTTGATTGACGTTGTCAGTCAGTGCATTCTATGTCAAGATGTATCAACTATGAAATACAACCAGAAATCCTTATATATATGGGTTTATATGTATTGTGTTCTAGAGGAAAACAATCTTCCTAAAAGGATCTTTTACATCAATGCAAAAATATCAATAAAAAAATTTACCATTAAATATCAACGAACACCGAACTTTGCCAAGATATACAAATATTTGGCTGTAATTATTCTCAACGTTAAACAAAATTTTCAATAGTATCTTATTTTCCGGAATTTGGATGGAATCTGTGAACTACTGAAGTGATCTGTGAACATCTCACTATTAATCATATGGACTTAAGTGCGCGTATGAACTATAGCACGGGTGGATTTTTCTATGGAATGATATGATGGTCATGATTGTGATGGGTTTTTCACTGCCGGGGGGAGGGGAGAGCATTTGCACTGGGGTGGGGTTTATAGGAGAAAAAAGGAAATAGTTTGGGTGGTAAAGTATTT